TGGAGGCGAGGGAGTCGCTTTGCCTCTGCTGCCGTCCTTGCCTCCTTTGCGCTGAGACGGACGGCGTTTCCTGCCCAGGATCCTGGCTAGCTTTTTGAGAGCGGGCTCGCCTTTCCTCCGTGAGCCGCGCCGCTGCGTGCCGGCCTGCTCCGTGATGACCTCTGCCTCCTTTTCACTGAAGCGGACGTGGTTAGTGGATAAGCACTGGCTCGCTGCGACCCGCGCCAACGCGGCCTCCTCCTCGCCCTCGCTTAGCTCCAGGTAGAACAGTTCCCCGTTCTTCTGGATGTCATCCAGCCATTCTGGCTCCAGGTCGCTGAAACCAAAACAGAGCGTTTACGAGACAGGACGAACTAAAGCCCTGGTGGGAAAACACGGAACCACTGCTTTTGCTTCAAATGAGCAAAACAGCTTTTTTAAAATTTCCCTTATGATGGTGTTTGATTTATTGCAATTGTCTGGAGCCTTTTTTTGTTACTTATTTACACGGTTTCTTTTGAAGTTCATTCAAGTTCCCATGTCATTTTCTCTTTAAACTCCATTAAACTCACATAAAAGTTGCAGCCTGGTGTTAAAATATTCTGGTTCTGATCTCCCTTCCGGGAGAAGACGTTTATTGACTAATGTTCTTTAATAAAAAAACAAACACGTGGAGCCTTCACACCACAACTGGATCTACTTTACTACAAGACGACTTCTGAAGGCAAGCGGCTGCACTAAATTTTATTTAAGGGGATCAGAGTAAAAGGGAATACAAATCCTTGCTACGCTAATAATGCACTATTCTGTGTTGGTATTTATGAATGTGTGTTTGCAAAGTCACAAAATGATAGTAGGGATACTTTCACAGCCACAGGACATCATAAAAGGCTCTATTAATGTGCATAGGTTACAATATTTGATACAAGAGCTACAAGTATTTTCTTCATTTAATCTGCCTTACACAAGTAGAACGAACTGAAAAGCAAATTTACAGGAACATTTGGATTTAAAGTGGATTTAAAAAGCTTTACGTATTTAGATACAAAGAAAAAAACTACCTCCACCCTATGTTGTTATAGATTAAGAGGGAACACATGCTTTACGAGAGCTTTCTGGAATAAACAAAGACGTCCAAACAAAAAAAAATCTTGGCATTTAACCTTTCTCGACTTTAAAATGACATATTGCAGTATAAAACCGTAGCTGGAACTTTTTTTCTTGGTCTCTAATCCCAGACTGAAACAAGTTATTCTTACTAGTTGTAGTCGGAGCTGCTGAAACTCGATGATGTGGATTCAGTGTCCCCATCTTCTTTTGCTTTCTGAGCTGTCGAAAGTGTATTTTCAGAACAAAGTCCGGGGCTCACGGACGCCATTGTGTTGAAAAACCAAGCGTAAACTCCCGAACTGGACCAAAAGTTAATTTCAGTCCTTTATTTCTGGGGAATAAAAAAAAAGCTCTTTTCGCCATATTTGATACAGCGCTGGCGAATGTGCACGGAGTGTCACGTGACACAAGAGCGTGCGTTCTGATTGGTGGATGTCACCGTTGCCCTTAACAACACACAAGCGTCGTCTTGCAAGCGGATTTGCAGACGGTTATGCCATAAGAAAATGACGATATTCCAGCGCCCACTTAGGGATTTTGATCTGTTTTAGTCTTTATTTAAATCCAAATACGTCTCCACTATGTCAGATATAAAGACTGGTTTATATTAGTTATTTTCGTCAAGTGGAGTACCAAAAAGCTTGAGAGCAGTAAGGTTAACTTTGCTAACTTGTCGAGTTGTATTTTAACCTGAAATGACAGAATCGCGACATCAACTCGGATTCCAACTCAGAAAATGACAGAAATTAAAAGGTGTACGGCACAAACAGTTTATAAAATTTCAATATACAACACGGCCAAAAGTGAATATCCAGCTTCTACTCGTTGATTTATTAGCTCAGCATCTCATCTTTGCAGATATCTTCAGTTTTTTATTTTTATTTTATTTTTTAAATCCCCTTTGGCATTCGGCGTAAGTCTGGCAAAGTTCCCCGGCTCGCGAACAGAAGCACACGATCGGCAGAAGCGCTACCAAAATACAAACTCAGGAAATTTCCGAACAAGCTCCGACTGACCTGTAAAGCAGAACGCTGCGGATGGAGTCGAAGTCCTCCAAATTATTTGAGAAGGAATTTCCATCTATGAGGTTAAACATCCTCTGGGTTTCATGTTTTGAAACGATGTTCTCAGTGAACAATAAGAAAAAGGCAACTGTAATTCCTGGGAAAAAAAATTGATCCAAAGGTTTATTTTCCTTTGGATCAAAGTCACTTCTTTCCTTTAAAATAAGGACTATCAAAGGTGCGGCAACATTAAACTTGAGCCTCCTGACGGATCCTCCCTCGAGCTTCCTACGTCAATCACTTTTCCCCCCTTTTTTGGGAAGGGGGGGCTTCTTTTCTTTTCAAATCTTAAGTGTTTCTCCGGGACAGCGGAGCGGAATGTAACCCAGCTATCTACTTGGCATTTTGAGAAAACTCTCGGCTTCAACAGAGAGCTCAGCGGGCTAGCTTAAGACTGTAATCAAAACACAACTCACAAGAGATGACACTGCCACTGATGAGAAAAAGGTACAGCGCTGCGGCGCCACGTGATTTCAGAGAAACCACCCTCTTCATTTGACATTTAGTTCAGTGTTTCTCGAACTTTTTCAGGCTGAGAACCACTTAACAGTCATGGACCACCTAACCTGAAACTGCCCCCGCGATAACACAACTTAATATGATGCAACCTGAAGTATCCAAGCTTTCCAATAACGTCAAACATAAGGAAATTAAGAAATAAAGTGTACTTTACTACAAAGTGTTTAACTATTTGTGATTTAGAAGAATAAAGAACTGAATTACAGAAACAAAAGACACATTTTATATGAATTATTTTCTTTTAACCATCAAGCACAACCACTCTGATCATACTCGCACCCTCGCTGTTCCCGAAAGAAACAGTGAACGGTCATCAAAAGTAAAGAGCCCATGAACTGAATCATCACTCTTTACCCGCTTCGCGCTCAGGTAGGAGTATCACCAACTCATCATCGTGGTTAGCGAGACCATACAAATTAGAAACACATTTCTCAAGTCAAGAACTATAGAAATGATCCCTGAAAGTATAGTCTTAACTCACCTCGCCTCCTCCCTACGCTTTAGTACTGACGTCCTGCCCTTTTCAGTGACGGTGCACACAACACGTTTAGCTCTCCACATGCAATTAAAGTACAACTAACACACATAGCGATATCAAACCCTAAACAGCTAAATATACATTATTGTAATTGTAATACTTACAATTTTTACGTATCCTATAGCACGTAAAAATGAAATATATTTATATTAATAAAATATATTTCACATCTCTATTTCCAAATATTTTGTTACGTATAACACAAAACATAACTCAGAAATGACTGCTGTTTTAAAATTAAAACGCATTTAAACATAAAAAAGACTTATAAACTCTATTGTATTACCCACAATGCATTGTGGTTTTGTATTCAGCGTATTCATGTCTGTCATTGGCTGCATCGATGCCACGTGCTAACAGGGACACAATTACTACATTTACAACCGAGGTCTAAAATAATGTTCAGAACATTCACTTTGATGAAAAGCTACAATAGCCACTGACAAACTGGCAAGCGGAAGAAAGATTGGCATCACAGAATGTACAATAAAACATAAACCTAAGATAGAAAAAACTCACAAGTGCGTCGATTATAGTTACCGACTAAAAATGAGGACAAGAGAAATAGTTCCTACCAGCGCAATAGAGACAAACGTCATCAGATTTAAAATCATATTTTAAACTGTACTGTCTAAAATGAGATTCCACATGTCTGACTTTAATATTTAAATTGTCTCCTTTACAATTAACTCCACAAAGAAGTACGTTTGCTAATTCTGGTTGGGAGAAGAAAAAAATTAAACCTTTTAGGCTTACTTTTGCTAATTTGAGGACATACATCAGGCTTGACGAAAAGGAACCGTGTATGTAGCTTTAGCCCGCCATAAAACGTACACATTTTAAAATGCCTGTTCAAGTTTGGGCGCTTAGTCAATTTAATCTATCACCCAATTCGAAAATGATATAAAACAGTGTATAAAACAATTTAATAATTATTATTAGTGATAATTCCAAACCTGATCATGGTTGCTAAAATGCTATAGCCAGGCCCCAGGCTACGTCCAATTTAAAAGTTCCTTTCAAGTTAAGTTTTCTGCTTAGCTAGTGGAGCAATGTTACAGTTTTATAAAATAACTAAAATAATTATAATTTAATTTAAATTTAAACTTTTACTCACAAAATAATGTTGCAGTTTCTCAGAACTGAACTGAGAAAAGATACGTTCACGGACCTTCGAAATTTTGTGTCATTTTAACGATTTAGCAACTTTATGCATAAGAGTTTAGTTAACTACACTAAAACTGTAGTTAACTAGTTAACTACAAACTCTGACACTCGTCTTGATCATCTACTCCAACTCTAACGTGATATTTGCTAGGAAACAACAGAGATATTTGGAGATTTACGAGTAAAAATAAGGTATATTAATATAGCAAGTATTAATATAGCATCAATATCGAGGAATTTTTAATTGACAGAGCTAGAGTTTTACAATGTCAAACATAAATCAGCCTTTCTTAAAAAATAAAATAGAAATAAAAAAATAAAAATAACTATGCATGAAAATTATTCCATTTTAGTTGTTAATTATAATTTTTAACAACTCTGAATAAGTTTTTCCAATGAAAGTTAAATACTGGTTTGACTGAAACAAATATTTTATTTTATTTTATTTTATTTTATTTCATTTTATTTTATTTTATTAAAGCACTCATCGCCCCCTTCTGGTGAATCAGCGCAAATTAAACGTTCCTGTTCAAAGGGACACATTTATATTTGTATTTCTTTATAACTTCACTACTTTGTATATAAAAAAAACACAAATCATATAACTTAAAATAATCGGTACTTGATTCTCATTTTATCGACACACTTCGTTTTTGTTTACTATGACGTCACTCACCGGAAACCTCACGTGTTCGTAACCAGGAAGTAAGTCCTTTGAAAACAAGCATGGTGTCCCATGCAGTTCAAGTCTTTGCTTTCGTTGCTAACATTTATTGTTGTGTCAGCGTGTTACAGTTTGTGGGTTGACATAAGTACAAAACATTAACAATAACAGCGAGCTCTTGTAATAAGATCCCGTTATGTGTGACGATAACGACACAAGTCAGGCTTTTTCTGCGCCACCAAACTCTGACACTCGTCTTGATCATCAACTCCAACCCTAACGTGATATTTGCTGGGAAACAACAGAGATATTTGGAGATTTACGAGTAAAAATAAGGTTTTCTTTTCTGCCAGTGATGTCTCTGAGTGAAAAGCGACATGTTTCGTCAGAAACGTGTGAGACGGATCTGGATGGGGTTTCAGAGCTGATGGATCTGCTGCGCATGGACCTGGATCCTGATGGAGAGCAAAGAAAAGCTGAGGGAGGCGATGCACCGTGTTCTTCTGTAAGTAGGACAGATAGAACACATCCTTAAGAAATCCACAAGTTGATATTTGGGTGAGGTTGTCTTTAAAATTCAGTCATGGTCAAAGGTTTTTGCGGAGATCTAAATGTGTTTTACAAACTTTGCACCCACTAATATGCTTGATAGATAGATAGATAGATAGATAGATAGATAGATAGATAGATAGATAGATAGATAGATAGATAGATTATTATGCAGAATTATCAGACTCATATAAATATACTGCAAGTAGTCTTATTATCTTAAAAATATGATTTTATGATTAAAAACCACATTTATGTTGCACAAAAAAATTAGCTGACCTCTTTATTATTATGACAAAGACATTATCTCCATTAATCCAGCAGTTATTTTATTTTTTTAATTATAACAGTCTAAAACCAACCAACCCTCTGGAGATAATTACCTTAAATATAAACATATTTCAGAATAACTGTATTTTTAATAATTATGTACATTTAAGACATTATCTTAACCTAAAACAGTGTAATTAATCCTGTTTGCTTTCCTGAAAAGAATCAAAGTATTAACACAATATAAAGCTTCATGGATATCTAATTTTTCTTTAATGTTTTTTTAAATACTTTATTCTTTGATTACTGTGTCTTAAAAATCTAATATCTCTGTACAGTGTCATTTAAAGGTATTCTTAACCCTTGACCTTTTTCAGCAAAAACTTTAATGTCTTTGGGATTTTATGAAATAAACCAACACAAAACAGCCAATGACTGTGAAGTGAAGTGAAGTGTTTCTGGTTTATTTTTATGTTTTTTTTTTCTATTTTATGAGCAGAAGAACGTACTAAGGAAGCAGCGACACTGGGAGAGGCAGCTGGCTGCCAAGAAGAGCAAACGCAAAGAAGAGAAGCAGAGGCGGAGGTTGAACCGCGCCCAGGAATCAGGTGAACACCGAGGAGAATCAACAAACGCTGAGGGTCACGATCTGATTCGTCGACTTTTCATGATCCGTTGTTCTGCTCTTAAAGGTGGCGACATGGACGCCGCTCAGTTCAGCAAGCGAGTCATGAAGGCGATCACCAAAGAGCGTCTAGCAGAGGCTCGCTCCACGGGTCGGAAACTTTGCGTGGACCTCAGCATGACAGACTGCATGTCTGACAAGGTGACGATCCTCTCTGTCCGGAGACGAATCCCGCAGAAACAGAGTCAATTGCATTTACTGGAGTAACTGTTTTTAAAAAGTTTTCTTTTAGGAGTATTTTTTTTTTTTTTTTACCACGTTGTACTTTTTAGTTTTACTTGGGTAATTTTATCATGAAGTATCGCTGCTGTTACTTGAGTAAAATTTCTGGATTTTCTGAATGAAAACCAAACATGCTTAAATCAAACATTCACCAGACACAGACCCGCATCAATAGTTTTTGTTAAAATTTCTTAAGTTTTTTTATTGAAAAAAAAAAAACCTGATTTGGATAAATTGTCTTTTGCCTGATTTTGCTGTTTTTTATTACTTATATGAATTATTGTCATTTCCGTCCTTAAAATACCAAAATTTCCACTTAACTTTATTTTTGATCCGTCTGATCATGTGATTTTTAAATATTAAATGATTGATAATTAGATAATTTACTCAGTACTAGAGTAGACTTTTTACCAAATACTTTTTTACTCTTACTTTAATCATGTCTTGGGTGGCTGACGTTTTACTTTTACTTGAGAGAAAGTACATTGAAGCTACTTTTACCTGCCGTCCTCTGTGTCGAAGTGAACGTAAGAAATAAAAACTTCCCTCTCGCTCAGGAGATAAGCCGGCTGGCGGGCCAGTTACGACGGCTGTACGGGTCGAACAAGAAGGCGACTCGGCCGTTTCACCTGTTCCTGACGGATCTGAGGGAGGACAGCCGACTCTACCGGGAGTGTGTCCGAATGAACGACGGCTTCCTCGGCTACGCGGTGATTCGATCAGTCTCTGATTATCCTCTTACCAAAAAAAAAAAAAAAAAAAAAAAAAAAAAAGTCCCTGCAAAACTGTTTTGAACAAAAAGTAAAAGTAATACTGAACTTTTCAGCTGTTTTTTAGACATGTTTCTTCATTTTCATGCTGGATTTCTTGTTGCCTCGATCTCATTTGCTTTTTTTTATGTCTGCTGAATGTAGATGGAAATAACAGAGGAAAGCTGTTTGGACCTGTTCCCTTCAGAAACGGTCGTTTACCTCACCCCAGATGCCCAAGAAGGTCTGGTCATTTTTATTTATGTACTTTCATATACAGGTGCAGCTCAGTAAATTAGAATATCAATAAAAAGTTTATTTGTTTCTTTAATTTAATAAAAAAAAGTGAAACTCAAGTGTTGCCTTAACCCTCTATAATGAAAATATAATGAATCTATATAAAATGTGAGCTCCATCTTTGAGTTGAATTACTAAAATAAATTAACTTTTCAATTATATTCAAAACTATTATTGCACCATTGTTGCTATTCCTACATGTAAACATTACCAACCTTTTTGTTTGCAGTTCAAGTCGCTGAACTTGTAGATTTTGTAAAGCATGTTTTGCCCACTAGAGGGAGCAATTAGCCCGAATGTTTCTCACCGTTTGAAGACCTAAAGGGCCGCAATTCAATATATAAACAAGTTATTAAATAACTATTTAGATGCACGTGATATTGGAAATTAATCTAATAAATAAAAAAAATCTAATTAATTAAATGTTTCCATTATTTATTACATTTTCAAACAATTAAAGGTGAAAATTATTATTTACATTTTTTGTTTGTTGCATTCTTAAAGAAAATATGATCATTTAAGTGTTTATTCCTCACTTTACCATCGTATTTTCTCGTGTTTCAATACACGATGAATTAACTTAATGTCGCACTCCGTACTGAAAGAACCTGAGCTGGGATTCGAACCCAGAACCTTATTGCTGCAACGCAACAGCGAATATGTCTAGCAACTTTATTTAAACTGTCTCACGTACAAATGTTAAGTTAAACGATAGCGGCATTAAATGTTGAAGAAGTACTGCTTATGCCCGCGATCTTTTATCATTTATCACAGCTTTGCAGACGGTGGACGCTGACACAGTTTACGTCCTCGGCGGCCTGGTGGACGAAAGCATCCAGAAGGTGAATTCAGCACATTTAAAAATAGAAACCAGCTCATAGTTTGATGGTTTTCATGAGCCCAGCCCCGTCACTGTTCGCTTTGGCTCACAAATAAATAAATAACCGAGTTCGTTTTCTGCCTTGCGGGCTCTCTGCTGCAGAAGCTGAGCCTTTCCAGAGCGGCGGAGCTGAGCGTCCGCACCGCCAGGCTCCCTGTGGACGAGTACATGGTGAAGAAAAACAACGCAAAGAATTTCCACTCCAAGATCCTCGCCGTTAATCAAGGCAAGCCATAACGTCCGTCTGCGAGAGAGATTTTTTATTTATTTTTTTAAATTTTGTTTTTAAAACTCCTTCATTCATTTTGAATGTTGTCTCTTTCGTCCACAGTGTTTGACATCTTGTTAATGTTCTCGGAGACCGGCAGCTGGACGCAGGCGCTGCAGACGTGGTTTCCTGCAGGAAAGGGTTACGTCATCTCACCGGAAAACTCAGCACGTTTTCCTGTTGAGGAGCAATGAACGAATGAATGAGTTATTAGGTTTTTTTTAAGGACAATAAGCTGAAGAGACTCCTAATATTACCTGGTACACTATGGTGTGTTTATGTTTTATGCTACTTGGCACCAAATTATTAAATCTGAAGCTTTGGAGAGGAAACATGCAGAAAATCTAACATAAAGCTGCATGTATTCAGCGTGCAGAAAATTATTTCTCCATCCATCTTCTACACCGGTTTAACCGCTTCAGGCCGTGGGATTATTTATCACTACTGTCAAAACTTACAATGGTCTCTTTGTGCCCTACAACATGTTTTTGTTGGCATTGCCTCTCCCTGAACTTTGACTGTGTTTCCTTGGAAAAATGTCGAATTAATTCTCAGCGAGAAAAAAAAAAAAAAGAGTCTGATGGGAATGAGTCAAATGCCCAGACACGCTGTCACAAAAAAACATTTCACGCTTTGTCTTCTGCTTGTGAAAAGATAAACCTTGGGAAAATGATGCCTCACCTGTAAGACAACCTCAGGTCAGCTGAGAAACACGACTGCATCTCCGAGCAGCAAAGAAACTTCCTCAAATTCAGTTTTGTTTGTCTAAATGTCGGCTTAGACCTTAAAGCATCTCAAGTTTTTCTCTCCAAACTGATGGTGAAAAAAAGCAGGAAACCCTGAAAGCATCTTTTAACTTACAGATTTTATAATAGAAAAGAGACAATCAGGAATAACACAGTTTTTTTTTTTTCTGGTAACATAAACACACTTGTTAGTTTATTTAGTTTGGACTTTTTTTGAACGAAAAAAAAAATGGTTATATTCTCAGTTTATTTAAAGCTTTCTGGGCGATTGGCAGCAGTGGAGTCAGTTCCATTCAGTGTGAGTTTAAATTCACATCCTTTATCAAAACTAAACTGCTTTGAAGCAGAAACGAGTCTTGTTACCGTCCACTGACACTGTTTACATGATCAATGTGAAATTCTCAGCACCGCCTTTTTCTGTAACTGCTGCTCTGTCGCAATGAGCGTGTTCCTAGGAACACGACCAGTTCCAGAAAGTCCCCACCGTCTGTCCACCTATTATCGGAGCTTAATGGGAGGGATGCTGCGAAGCCGCCAAGCAATAAATTATGTTTTTAACCAAGCTTTCTGATTATGGTCCTGGCCCAACAGTGGGAATGTTATGAGATGAAATAACTGTGGCTGAGTTCCAGTCAGAGAGAAAACGCTTTTCAGTAGGTCGGAGGTTTATCATTATCTTTCATTATGAAAATCCAACATGGCTGCCTCAAAGTGCGACTGTTGCACAGATTTTCTTAAATTAATCTCAAAAACTCAGAAGTCTCACGTAAGGTAAATATGTTTAAGCGGCTCCTGAAGCTAATTTGAGGACCTGAAACACAATTTTATTTATTATTGTTTATTGAGTTATTACTATAGAGCTACTGTAATTTTCAGTCATTATATGAAAGAACTACATGTCTAAGAAAAATAAATTATTTCCCTGCGAGTAAGTAAACATTAAGTTGAAGTTCAAAGCATTCAAATTTGAGGCCTTTAACTCAAATTTGAATAAAAATGATTCTTAAATGTTAAGCGATGTTATGGTTTCTTCATCCAGTCCAGTAAAACCCAACCTGAGCGCCAGACCCGATGGCTGGAGCTAATAAACGTCCTTTTAACGAGTCTCAAGTTAACGATGTGCTTAACGGTGACATAATTTACAACCAAAGAAAGAAAGAAAAGTGCAACACTTAATACAAGAAGTAACACTTTATTAAAGCCTCACATAAAAAAAACAACAAAAAAACAATTCATAGCATGAGTTTTTCCTCACCTAAGCTGATTTATTGCTACTGGATGAGAGTTTCATGTTAGAAAGCTACATTTTTGCTACGTACGGCGTTTGTATACGAATGGTTATATAAAAAAAAGTGAAAAACGAAAACATCTTAAGAGTTAAAATTATATATAAAAAAAGTGGAGATAAGAAAATAATGTAATGAAACGGGTAATATCATGGCTCAGGTATCAGCGTTTGGAGGCGTGCAGGATCATCCTCATGCCTTCGTCTTGGGAGCGGCTCTCTTCTTCTGGGTCTGTTTCTCCAGGACAAACTGGACCAGCTTCTTCACCCAGGCGGACTGAGGGTTGAGACACACCTTCTCCCCGCTCACCAGCCCGGCTCTGACCGACAGAACGAGAGCAGCGTTACTCTAATGTCAAATTCATGGATGAAACAAATCTTAAAAAAAAAAAATGGGTGGAGTGGGTGGAAAACACCTACATGTAGAGGAATTTACATACACCGTATCTGCTCCACCATGCATCCAGCAGTGATCCAGGCTGGTTGTTTTATCTGATGATATCTAACATCATCAGTACTGTGTGGATTTCACGAGTGACTCAGCAGAGGTCGTTTGTAATCTTTCATAGTAATCTCATGCAGTTGGGAGACGTATTTCACAATCCTCGTGCACAATGAGGGCAAGTTGTAAGATTATTCTGAACAGTTGTGTTACAAAACGTCCGACTGCCATGTGAATCAGAGTTAATCTGATCAGGATACTGTATTTGAGTCCGTATTTATTTTATTCTATTTTATTTTACTTTTTCTTTATTTAGCACCAGTCCATTTTGGATTATAAGTTTTACTGTCTGGCAAGAAAACGGACTCACTGTAACCAAATCGACCTAATGGTATAAATAAAGTTGATTGATTAATTGATCTGCTCAGACCCAGAAACAACAGGTTATGTCCTCCACACTTAAAAATAAACTCAGCTTTTAACAATTTTTTTTCTTTTTATCTGTGGCGTACTACAGAAATGCGGGTTTTAACTTCAAAAGTTGATCAGATTTAAGGAATTTTTAGTTAGTAATTTGCAACTTCCTGTTTCTGTAGGGAAGAAATATGATGTGACACAGGCCCATTTCTGTTTAAGTGGACCGATATTTTATGGCAGAACGGAGGGGAAACATATAGCATCAACAAAGCTGCATAATAACCAGTAAGAGCTTATTACAAACCTAACAGCTGTTTAGTAATAGAGTAAAAAACAAAAAACAAAAACAAACAAACAAACAAACAAAAAAAAACACAATTTTTTAGCCTATGTTAGTGAAGTTTTAGAAAATAGCTTCTGCTTCTTTGTCAAACCCAAAACGATATCTACTTTGCCTCTTCCAGCTGCGGCCAGATTTATGCTGCTGGAACTTAAGGAGGAACCATAAGATAAGGAAGAAACTCCTCAAAGCTCAAGGTTGTGTCTCCCAATTAAGAGTTGCAATGCTGAGCCAGAAATGTTGGTTCCAGGCTCCTTTATCAAACACTTTGTGAAAATCTGAGTTTAAGTAAGTAGTGACTCTGTCTGGTTAGCACAGATCAGACTGAGCAGACACCGAGCACCGAGTCTGCTTCTGTGAAAACCACACAGCTCTGCTTGGTGTTTCATTTATTTATTTATTTTTTCCATTACCAGCCTGCCATTTCAAACAGAAACATGTGGAGTTTGCTAAAAGAAAAAACCGGCAAACAGGGGGTGGATGGTAATGTTCAACTGATTTCCTGTTGCAGGATTCTTCCTCCACAGAACAAATTCACTCGACTTAACAATTGGGTTTTGTCAGATTTACGGTGTTTTCATTAAATATGAATTCATTTCAACTGTTTGCACATGTCTTATCAGGGGAGGCAATTGGCATTAAGTGTTACAGTCATATAATCATATTAATGTGTCTTAATGTTGACCGAAAATAACACTTGAATGGCATATTTACAGGCAAATAGTCGATAAGTAGAATGATCTTTTTGAGATCAATGGCTCTACTTTGTATTTTACTGTGATGTTTTTATTGTTTAATGTTGAACCAGTATGGAAGCTGATAACAGCAATACTCATATTATTCTTATCTTATAATAATAATAATAATAATAATAATAATAATAGTATGCCTTCATGGTAGAATCTGCCTGAATCAGATTTTTTTTAAATTAACATACCTATGTTTTAAATAAAATTTGTGCTTAACTGTATTTGAAATTAATCCAATTGAATTTGTTTGTTTTCACGTAAAGGCAAAGTATCTTTATATTCAATCAAATGCAAACTTTTGTTTTGATTTGCATTGTTCATAAGATGAATTTAAAAGTGATTTGTGAAAACGATCTAGTTTAACACCTAAATTAAATCGATCTTAGCTGCAGCATTGTGACGTAAAACCAAACTTTTTTTTTTTATTTCCAATTCACTCACATGACTTCCGTTTTGGCGCAGTTGGGCCCCTCGGGGACCAGCTTGATGCTCTTCAGGTTCTCCGCTGGGATGATCCTGGACTCGACCTGCAGGCACCTGCAGTGCGTGTTGAGATCCCTGCTGATGGGCGGCATTCCTGTCAGACGGAAAACACAGTTTCAGTAAAACACACAGGCCTGTTGAGTCTTATTTTCATCCGTGAGCCAAAACTGACGGTGTTTAACTAATTACGGGACCTGGGAGAGGTCATAAATCTCAACATCTCGTGATAACTTGCAGAACTAAATGAAAAAAATCGACTAAAGAACCTTGAAAAATAATTGGTACCTCTGATTTTTTTTCCACATTTTTGCAGGTTACAAATACAAACTGTAGGGTGTTTTACTGTTTATGTTACTCCAAAAATAAAAGAGTAACATAAAAGTTTAAATAATGAAATGATGCATGGTTTGGATTTTTTATTATTTTTTTTACATAAAAAATAGAAAGCATGATGTATTCGCTTCCTTGAGCTTCCGGTTACAGTCTCTACCAGCTTTGCACATCTACAGACATTTTTGCCTTTTCATTTTTCCAAAGTAGCTCAGGTTCAGTCAGACTGGATGGAAAGTGACATTTTCCAAGGCTCGCTGCAGATTCTACTTCTGTACTTTGACTGGGCCATATTTTTATATGAATACCTTTTGGTCTAGACCAGAGCATCTTCCTCTACATGTTTTTTCTTTTTCCCCACAAATGGAGCTCTCCTTACTCCCTCTTCCACAAAGTCCTAATATGCAGAGACATATCTGGTTGTAAAATAACAAAATGTGGAGATTTGGATTCTGCTGCAAAGAAGGAAGAATAAGCTCTCCTTTTGGATCTAAATAAGGATCTAAATAAACTCCCAATTCATAAATCAAACCTTGGCAACTCCCACTTTTATGAGCGTGTTTCATCACATCCAACTGCTTGTGAAATTAAACCGCTCTGCTTCCTCTTTTGGTCCTCCGGCTGCCTTCCTGATATTTGACAACTCGAACATTAAAATTTACAACGCAACAAGCACAGTTCCACGTTCCCCGCTGAACGCAGGCGAGTTTTGTTCAGCAGGCGGTGCTGCGTGACGAAACATCGCTCCATGAGAAGCGGTTTCACACGCACTCATGACGGGATGTGACTCAGAAGCGCAAAGGTCAGATTTGCACGAAGGTGATATCAAGGTCGGAGTGGAGTTTTATTTGAAATTGTCTTTTAATTGCAAAGACTTTATGTGGATTTGTTTTTTTGTGCATAATTATTTTAAGCCCATAAAATTCTTAATTTAGGGGTTTTTAAACTCATTTGTGAAGAATATACATTTCACAATCCAACAAACGAACTAAAATTGTTATCTACTGTCTTTACTTAAAGAAAAACCAGTAATAATGGCATAAGTCATTTCTTGCCAAAAAAAATAAAAAAATAAAAATGTGACGTAAGGTTTCCAATTCCTTGTTAAACTCCTAAATATTTATCGCAAAAGCACCAGAGTGTTTCCATCTTGCGTCCTAATAACCACAATGTTTATGGAGGTAAATATTTCTTCTTACAATAACAAAACACTTCCAACTGCTTGCTTTCCCCCTGGAAACTCGCCCCGTTCCTGGACTTTACGTCAGCGTTTCTGCGTCTCTTACCGTCAGCGAGCACCAGCAGGGCCGTCAGCACAAACACAACGCAGAGCTTCATCTTGTTCCACCGGCTGCTTGTTGAGATCTTTGCCAAAGAAGAAAACAGAGGACAACACTCGTCTACTGAAACCCTTTGCCTTGGTACTCCAATATTTATACACACGGGGGGTCATGTGCTCATCTCCAAATTAGAACAATACCCATAGTTGTGCATATGTGCGGTTTCACTTTGGTGTGTTCACATGTGCAGCAGCAGGGAGTCATGGGACGGTGGGTTCAGGGAACGACCGAAGGCCCCGCTGAGGTTAGGACTCGGCGCGCCTCTTGTCCCACAGCCACAGAAATGAGTCAGACAGATTTAGCAGGCTGTTGTGTGCGATCCCACAGCAGCTTCTCTTCCTCTTATCTGCTTGTTGTGGATCTGCAGATGAATTCGGCCTCCTGCCCTCGTCTGTTTCCAGAAGACGGCGTGATCATCTGGTCCAGCTTTGTAAACATTTTTGGTTTATCTGACAGCGCGGTATGACACTGAGGCGTTGTTGTTGTTGGTTGCTGGGGTTTATTCCAATATTGCACAAATAGTACAGTAAACTACAGTGACCTTATTGGTCATTTTAGTTTCTTTTTGTTATTGCTGAATGGTTTTGTCTTTTTTTATTGCATCTTTTTTTTCTTTGAGGTATTTTAGCTAATTTAATTGACTTAAAATGAATATTATTCTGTTTTTCCGAAGCATTTTTTAGCACCTGAATGAAGTTTAAGGCGTCTTCAATCAAATTGAACTTTTACTGTATTAAACTCAGTTAAAAACGTCATTTACTCAGATGGTATTTTATTAACCTTTAAATTAGGGCTACATGATCTGAAGTAGAGGTGGTGGACGATATGGACCTAGAATTTTATCGCAATATTTTGTGGTAGTATTGTGATAACGATAAAGAATATTAATCTAAAAAAACAACAACTATTTATTACTTATTTTTAGGAAATAATTAGTTTTGCAGCATGATGACTTTGTGGCACAGCAAATAGAAATATTGTTCTTGAAACACATTCATGCCTGAATAAGGTTTCTTCTGTACTTCAGGACTCAATTTAGTTTAAAAAATGTTATTTATGCCAATAAACCGTCCACATTTAATAATATTTTAGAGTTTATTGGTGTTTATTGTTGCTCTTGTAAAACAAAACACACACCATACTGTCAGTTTTTTTTATTTAACACCAATAACTGAAACTTATTATGACAACAATAAATCAAACTTATTCCTGATGAGAATTTTTTTTTACAATAAATTATAGACCATAGGATAAACGGCCACCCCTAATAGGATGTCATAATCTAAAAGAGAAAATAAGAACCAAAACAAGAGAAGATGAAGTGAAGTGCAAAAAATTCTTCAAATTTCATAGAATTAGCTTAAGAGATCTGAGCTTTTTATAATTATTCAGCTGCAAAATTTGTGTAAATGCTGCACTGTAAAGTGAAATTGACTGATATGTAATGGCTAAATATGTGGATAAAAATGATTTGGCTCCAGGTACAAAACATAAGTAGGAAGGAAAGAAATGACAATGCATTGATAAACAATTGTGCTGTAAATCAACAAATGGGTTTAAAGTCTCTCGTAGATTATATTAAAATGACTTTTAGTTTTGTCCAAGTGCCTCCCAAATGTGGGCAGAAATTACTTTTTCATTCTAAAGAACATCTAAAAAAAAAAAAAAAAAATCCAACTTAAAGAGAGAGAAATAGTAAATAAATCAATTGCTGCTCCTTGTTGACCTACTTGACCTCGCAGAAATGGCTCCATGGTTTGTCTCGGCATCCTACAAGCAACGCTCTGTAATCATTTGTGAAAATAAATCTCAAAGGCCACCAAGGAGTCGGCATCCGCTAACATAGCAGTGGAGTTGTGGTGTTTATTTCAGTCTGTGGTGTTTTAGCTTTAGCATTACTGTGATGATGGAGTGACAGGCTGGTTTTACGACGACTAACCTGGTAAACCGTCTACAGCTACGCTTCAAATGAAATACAGTTTGTGGAAATGTTTGGAAAATAGCACAAATCAGATTATTATTAAGCAGTTTTGGCTGATAAGATGAACATCTCTCAGGTTCTCTAATTTTTTTCATTCTTTTTAAAGACTTTTAGATGCTGTTCATCTGCTGGAGATGCAATTTGTCATCCACTTGTTTATTGTCATTTTTTTTTTTTTTTTTTAGTCACTCACGGAGCACAACATGCTGCCGTGGTCAGGTTTGAGGACTGGACTGAAAATCCCCCTGAGCTGAGCTGCACGACATTGGAAAAAAACTGACATTTACATTTTTTCTAGCCTTTCCAGTTATGTTGAGAATATATTGCGACATGAAAACAAAACAGAAAATTTTCACCAGAAAACTCCACCGTACGTGATGCTGCACTCCCGCCATCTTGACAGTCACCCTGCAGCCATCATACCTCATTTTGAGAATGTTGCATATTATTGCATTATTATTGTAATATTGATAATTATTGCAATGAAAATACCAGTTTCATATTTCTTATATTTTTTCTATATTCTATATTTTTTCTGTCCTCTCTCATCGGTTCTTTCACCACTCTGTGACCTTTAGCACTTTTGGACAACAAAGCTAAAAAATCCAGCGTGAACTCTTAACTTTGGGACTCTGTCCAACTGGCTAAATTTTACATTCGTGTGAAAAATGTAAGTTTATAACACTTGGAATATATTAGCCAGCAGTTATTGGACTCCAAACGGTGATTGTGCAGCCCTACCCTAAATATACAACCCCAATGTGAAGCATGGTGGTGGCAGCATCATGCAGTGGTCTTCGTCTGAAAACCTGTAGAACTATGGAGGAAGTTGGAGCTGGTACAAAAATGTCTGCAAGCATTGTTTATATAGCTATAATTATAAGACAGACGTAGTTTTACTTTTATTTATTGAAAAAATTAACAATTTATCATCTCTTCTTCACATTTACTCAATATTTCTGATCCTATTTCTCATTACTGATGAAGAAAATCCGTCTTAATTTAGATGTTTACATATTTAACTGATGCCCTACACAGACACTTTTATTATGAGGAGGATCCTGTGGAAGCAGACAGACAGAGGGATGAATCTTCAGACAGTGAAACCGCGTCCAGCCTCAGCGGTAAAGGCTGTTATGATCGCCACGGTTTCACCTAAGCAGCGTCACTTCCTCATGATTACGAGCACATGTCCTTCAGCAGGCGTTTGGGTCAAAAACGAGGAACCAAAGTGAGTCAGTAAAAAAAAATAATAATAATAATAATAATTAAAAAAAAACTCCTCAACACCACATGACTGCAAGGAATTAGAACAATGTATCACAGGATGACTCAGCAAAATTACCACATTGAAAAACAATAAGATTTTAATGTCCGTGCTTCACTGCTCAGATTGGTAATAAATCTGTGTAGATACACGAGAATAATAATCGACACAACTTGGCGAAACCGAACCGAAGTTAAACGTGGATGACGAAATCAAATAAGCCGTCAGAGATGAGACGTAAGTCATCTCCTTTTGGAAAAACAGAATCTTTAATTAATGATTTTGACACTTTCGGCCCTCGGGCGAACCGTCTCTGCGTCACCAGTCAGGATCTGGGATCTGGCAGCTGCTGTGAGGTGGAAGAGCCGGTTCTGTTCTTTTGCGGTGGCGAAATCAACGCGTTTCCATCCTCACTGCTCAGGTAGAGGCCCTGATACTCCGACAGAGCCACGGAAAAACCTGCCTTCATCATGCTTTCGTCATTTTCCACTTGACTGACTAAAATGCTCCGTGGGCTTGTCTAAATTAAACGGTTCAGTGCGGAGAAACTCAAAGGTAACGTGAAACGTGACAAGTCTTTACTGGTTTCCCCATTTTTAAAGGGGCAGCAGCTGCGTTTCCGTTGTCTATACAAAGACACAAATCTGGAAAAAATAAAATAAAGTAAAATAATAAACTGCGCAATAAAAATACGGTGATTTTGAAAATACAAAACAAACAAACTTATTTGTTGAGAAAAAGTATTTGCGCTAGCACATATCAAAATTACTATAATTCGCAAAACTGCAATGGAAACATTTTTTTTTTCATGTGATCAACACCCGGATGTTACTACCGGCGGAAAAGACAAAGAAGACGACAGGAAGTAGCATAAGCATGCTAAAACACAGCATGTCTTTTAATGACTTACCGCCTGAACAAACTTATTCGCATGTGATTTTAATTGCGTTTCTTATTTTAATGGAAACGCAGCGATAACGAATTTGCGGGATATTGACAAAAGCTTTGCGCACATTTGTAATGGAAAGGCAGCTACTGTCGCCACTGGAGGTAGCTGGTGGAGGCAAAACCAAGTTGGTGAGAATGAAGCATGAAGTGGGAACAATATGTTTATCGATAGTTAAAGACTGACAAACAGTTGATGAAAATTTGTTAATTGACCTTTTGTTGTGGCTACGTCAAACCTTTAAGTCCTTTAAATCTCTAAAAAACAGATTCTCATAGAAAGGCTCATATTTTCTCTAATGTGTAACATTTGCCAGTTTCTCAGTTCATGTGAGTTCAGACAAGTGAATTGCTCAGCGATGTTGCAATGTTAATGTGAAAGAGCTTTCACTGTTTACCATTAGAAAACTGCTGCAGGGTAATAATTATAACAGTGGTTATTCTGCTTGGCTTGTTTTTCTTTTTTTTCTTGTTATAATCCACATGTCGCAAAAACAACTTGTCTGCTCTTTATTGTGCACAAGTTCTGGCAGGCATTTTAATTTCACTCTAATATTTTGTGCTCAGGTAGCTGATTCTGCTGTAAAAGTCCAGTCTTCTGCTCTGGTTTTAAATATTTCAACTTCCTTTTGTACAACGGTCCGTAAAACGTCTCAGTTGGGAAAATACAAAACTTTAATAGACGATACTGTACTACTGCAGGAGTTTTCAAACTTTTCATGTCAGGCTGTCCAAAAACATAATTTTTCAAATGTACAATATGTAGGGTTTTTTTTTTTTAATTATTATTTACTATATTTTGTTATTTTTTCTTCACGCTATTTTTAAAGTACAGAGTAATAAACAGGAATGTGGCTTTTTCTGAATAATAAAATAAAGTAGGTTGTTTCATCAGGT